CCTTAGAAGAAAAAAGACGATTGGGTAGAAAAAGATGTTTCTTGGAAGAGAAGGCCACCTGTCTGAGGAGGGGGATGCACAGAAATGAATATGGTCTACTTGAAGGAGATGGGATTTGGATGAGGGAGTGGGTGCGGAGGGTTGTTTCAGACAAAGAGAGTGGATGTACTTAAGATTCCATAGGCTGGGACCAAGTTTTGGAAGATCAGACAGCCAGCTGAAGAATTTTCTCATTGTCCTGTCTGCAGTAAATAAATACATAAATCAATCACTGTAAAAACCTTCCAGAGATTGAACTACAAAGTTTGGGGGAACTGAGCAGATTTCCCCTCCAAAGAGGTCAACTATGAACTAGCTGAAATTGTGTCTTGACCTCCTATCTGTGAACCGTTCCTTAATCAGGCAGTTATTTCTTACTCTAGTTTTTTCTTTTCTTAAATCTTCAAATAACAATGATAATTTTGTTCAGCAAACATTCTAGAAACTAACAATGAAATTGGGCATTGTTCTCTAGTGGAAGTATTTAATGCCTTAAGCTAAAATGTATGGCTAAGAAGAAAACACAATGAGATTCTAAGGTACTGGCTTGTAAAAGGATTTCTTCCTATAAAATTGTTTATTATACATGAGGTTCATTGAAAAAGAAACTTCTTAAAGAACTACTATCTGATAAGCACTAATGAGCTATTATAGGGTAAGCACTGCAGAAGACCTGGGAGATAGAACAAAACATTCACCCATCTGAGGAGGTTGGAACTCCTGATCAAGTCAGCCATTCAGCATTCACTAGGAGTTCATTACAATGTAAATTGACTCCACCCTAGATTTGTCAAATCAGAGGCCCAGAAATCTGTTTAATAAACTCAAGATTCTAATGCTTACCTCGGTTTGATAACCCCTGTCCTAGATTTATGATGTAGATGTAATTGGAAACTTTACAGCTTCCCTACCTGATGATGAGAGGAGCTGAGCGCAGCTGTGCTGATAAAAGCCGTTCAATCTCCATCCTTCCGACTGCTTTCCCTAAAGGAGGTACTGAAGAAAACAAACAAAGGTGAGGTTTTCTCTAATGATCATTTCCTTAATCGTGGTTTTATTAAATCCCTACACTTGATCTTAGTATTTATGGAAGTCTTGAAATGTGTACATATGCATCACAAAGAAAAAGGGAGAAAGCCAGGGCAAGGGAAAAATAAAGTTAGAACAAGATAAGGGTAGATAAGAGCTTAACACCTAGACAACATACTAGGGAGACACATTATTCTACAACTTAACTTTCTCTTGGTTTCCGTAAAAATATTTCATCTCCATTCTACCTGCCCTTCTGATTTCTCCTTGGTGCTGGTCTGGTTTAAAAGATATCTTGAAAAATATGTATTGAGCATCTAGTATGTTAGGTATAGACAGGAAATCTGAGGAAATTAGTTTCTTGCAGATGAAGTGAACCAACAAATAAATTTTTCATAGATAAATACAATTAGAATCAAAGAAAATAAGATAATAGGAATGGCTGGGGAAGGTAGTTATAGAAAAGCCTCTCTGCGGAGATACGTTTGATCTGATAACTAAAGAAAGAACGAGCTAGAAAAACCTGAGAGAAAAGCATTGCCATATGAGACAGGAGAACGGATACAGAGGAATTTGTCTTAATTGGAATTAACACTTGGGGGAAGCCGTGGGTGAGATTAGATGAAGGGCAGGGGACCGTATCACCTAGAACTCGGTTAGCCATTTGGATTTTATCTTAAACGCAAAGTAAAATTATTAGAAACCTGATTTAGGTTTTAAAATATTATTCTGGTTATTGAGATAAAAGGAGTTAGACATGGGAATGGGACAGGGCTGAATATAAACTAGTTAAATGATGAAATGAGGACAGTTTTAACTTTGCTTCTTAATGAATTAGTTTTAACTTTGCTTCTTAATGAATTACTTTTAAAGTGAGTTGGAGGAAGAGAGGTATTGGTGGAAAACCCAAAACAGTGTTTTAGATATGTTAATTTGGGGTACTTATTAGACATTTAATTGCAAATGAGTTGGAAGTGCTGTGTCTAGGTAGATTATTAAATCTGAAAGTGGTACTTAAAGTTTTACAAGTAAATGTGATAATCATTGTCGAACTTGAGTAAGGGACTAGAACTGACCCAGGAAACACCCCAAAATTTAGAAGTTCAAGAGGATGTAAAACCCAAGAAGGATGGTGAGAAATAGACCAGTCAAGTGAGAGGGATGTCAGATATGTGACCTTAATAGCAAAGAGAAGAACCCTCCAAAAGAAAGGTCATGAGTCAACTACTTTAACTGCTACTAAGAGCTCAAATAAAAGATAAAGCCAGCAGTGAGGTCAGAATTTGTAAACTTGTGTGACTGGTCAGTTCTTTTCAGTCACATAGACTGTCACATGTTAAGGGAATTAAGACAAGGGAAGCTACAGGGGAGTTGAAGGACCCAGGCAGAAAAAAAAAATCTGAGCAAATTCAAAGCCAATTTGCAGGTTGAGAGAAGTATTTGCAATTTATATAATGTGTTTGTGTGTGTGATGATTTCAGTGTATAAATATCTCTTAAAATTAAGAACAAAGACCAAAAACCAGGTAAAAGAAAATGGGTAGAAGTCTTTAACATATCGTCATAGAAAAAGAAATGAAAATGGCATTTAAGCATTTGAAAAGAATAGCTTTATTCATAATAAAACAAATGCAAATTGGAAATATATAAAAATACCATTTCTTACCTACCAAATGGGCAAAAATGACATTTTTGTCATAAAGAATCTTCTCTGAACAATTATTGAGAAGAATGGCATGATTTTACAGTTGTGCTAATCTCTTTAATTTCTGGTTTTTCAGAACACTGCTATTTTCTTATCTCCTCCAGCATTCCACCTCTTGCGATAGTGTGTGAATAAAATCTTTCCTCACACAAATACATACTTGGAAAAGTAGAGAACATTCTAATAGCTTTTTAGATCATTGATTTTTTAAATTTTGAAATCATATCAATAAATAATTTGTCTTCTGATACATTAAAATCCATTGGTCTGTCTTACACTTTGAATACACTTTGCCCTTGCATAATTATGCATTGGTCTTTTGAAAAATATTGGTTCACTAAATTCGAAGACATTCCAAAAGATGACATATTTCATTAATAATCACCACCAATTTTATCAGAAAAGACTAAGTATTGGGAAGCTTAAAATAGTGGATATGAGTTTTTTAAAACTTGAATAGTGAACAGAACATTTCCAAAACTAATTTTTGCTTAAAAGCTCAAATTTTATCATTGGCAACTAATACTCAGTTGGGTTCCTTGAAATGACTGGGTCACTTTGCTGTCATATAAGTCAGAATAATCAGTTTGTCTGATTTGCTCCTTCAACTGAAAATATTTTATGAAAAAACATGCTAGTATGGCTTAGAACTCAATCATACGAAATTTTTTTTTTTGAGACAACCACTTCATTTCTATATTCAGCATTAATGCCTTATGCATATTTGCCATTTTGTCACCCAGAATATTAAATAAATCCTGCACTCAAGGATTGAAATTTAGTTTTTTTACTTCATCAACAAATAAGACTATCAAGTAAAACAGCTCCCCCCCCTCCCTTTTCTTTAACTGTGAGTATGCAAGTATGTGGAGATTTTTAAAATATAATTAAATGACTATAGTACTGTCTGGTTCTATGTCTTGACTGATGGTAAGACACCAGCAGTTTTTGTTTTTTTTTAAATCTAAACAGATGAAGACCACACTTTTTTTTTTCCTTTATTCATTTTAGAGAGAGATAAACATCGAGGTGAAGGGACACATCGAGTGGCTGCCACCCGCAGGACCAACCGGCCGGGGACAAACTGCAACCGAGGTACGTGCCCTTAGCGGGAACCGAACCGGGTCTCTCTGGACGGACCGCAGGCCGACGCTCCAACCGGGGAGCCAAACCGGCCAGGGCGACACGAGCAGGAGGCGGCGATGGACGTTCTCTCCCATCCACGTCCCTCTCCCTCTCCCTTCCTCTCTCTCAAATCAATAAAGAAGAAAAAAATATATATATATATACACACACACACACACACACCCCATGTATAGGAGTAGTCAACTTCAGAATTATAAAAATGTTTCATACTTAAGAATGAAGTAACTAAAAGGCCGAGAGGCCGAGTGGACCGCAAGCCTGCGGGGCGGCGGGCCGAGCGGCCGGCGAGGAAGCGGGCGCGGGCGTGGGAGCCCCGGCCTGCGGCGCTTGTCCCCCAGCCAGGGCAGCTGCACGGAGCGGGTGCGGCCAGGGAGCCACCGGAGAGGCTCCTGGGGCGGGTCTCCCCAAGCTCGGCAGGCAGCACACTGGAAGCGCGAAACGGAAGGTCCCAGGAAAGGGCCGACTTGCGGCCCGGGAGGTCTCGGGTTGTCTGGCGCGAGAATGCCAGAGAGGACTGATTTCTGTTTCTACTCTACCAAAGGAACACAAACAAGGGCATGCCGTTTCCCTTCCGCATCTAAGCAAACGTTTTATCATTTTATCTTGGGGGTCATTTTATAGATAGATATATTTTAACCAATGTCTTTTAAAGCCTGGTTCTCCGGCGCGTCATACCTCACGCTTCAGGCACGAAATTCCAGATGCCCTTCCAGGGAGCATGCGCATCCAGGGGCACTTGAAAGTGCCGCCACTGACAAGCCACGCATGCGTAAAACGACACACGTGCGCGGCTCTCCGTTAAGGAGGCGCTGACGGGTCCACGCATTCTGGCTGCAGCAAGTGCTGAGGCGGTGAGTGGTTCCTTAAGTGTGCACCCGAAATGCCTTACGCCAGGCCTCGCTTACCTCACCCACGTCCCGGAAGTTCCGCCAGTGCTTATAAGGCACTGCGCCCTGCGCTGAGCGCCTACTCGCGACCCAGGTGTCACTCCTGAGCGTCTCCTGCAAGCATCGGGCTGCCCGGTTGGAGTCCACGCAGTGTCCTGCTCTGGTGCTTGAATGTGGACGCAGAGGTTGACCGGCATGTCTGGCCCCGAACACCGCCACTGTTCCCACTCGGGGCACGGCAGTGCTTCACGCTGGAAACAGCCCGGGCTCTTCCTAGGGCTGCCCACCGAGATGTACAAAAGTCTCAGCCCCCCGTCCCCGTACATCCCGGACGACTTCTACTGCTGGAAGCACCTGGAACCCCGGGTGCTGTTCTGTGAGGATGAGCAAGTCACGCTCTGTAACAAGTGTTACCTGACCCAGGAGCACAGGAGCCACGCGGTGTTCGGAGCCCAGGAAGCCGCGGAGCTTTACAGGGTAAGCCCCCTCCAGACCTGGGGCGCCGGCGCTCGGGCCGCCCCCGCTCACTTATTAGCTTGTGTATTTGGGGGCAGATAGTCCGATCCTCTAAGACCATTCCCCCGGTTACTATTTCCCGAGAGGTACCAGACAAGTGCCATGGTTAGACCGTCAATGTCAAGGCTAAGAAAACAGAGTCGGGGCTGTTGGCCTTGCAGTTGTCTGGAAGGGTGGGGATCCAAGCCTTCGAGAGAATTGCTTCACCTGGAATTCTGTGATCCCTGTCTCTGCAGAAGTTATTTCAGGATCTGTTGAGCACCTTGAAGGGGAAACTTGAAGTTGCTGAAGGCCTGTTGGCGGAGGAGCAAGAGAGAATGTTGGTGGTTCAGGTCAGTGCTTATCTTGATTCTTCGGGGAAATTACCTGTAATGTTGGGTATCCAGTAATATACACAAAAGTTAACAGATACATGACAAAGCGGGAGGGAATATTTGAAATCTGTAGGTAGGAAAAATGTTCATTTCTTAGCAAAGAGTGCTTAAAAGTCAATAAGTGAAAGACTGGAAACTTAGTAGAGCAATGATCAAAGAAATGAGAGTTCACAGAAAAGAAAATGCAAATATCTTTTGAACGTACAAGATCTTTAACCTTGCCCCTAGTAAGAGAAATACAAATGAACTGTATTAAATTTGTTAGTGCAATGGCATTTGCGACCCTTCTTGGCAAAGATCAAACAGATTGGAAACAGTTTATAACGATGCTGTAGGAGAATGAACATCGTGTATTTTTGGTGGCCATATAAATTCTGAAACCATTTTAAAGAGCAATTTGAGAATTATCATCCAAACTGAGCACTCACCATTTGGTATGCACAAGTTTTACTTCTGATTTCAAGCCCTCTCTTCATATGTAACCCTAGATACTTGTGCCAGGTATCTCAGATTTTGGGCCCCCCCTCTTTCAACTTTTAAAGAAAAACATCCAGTTGAAGATGATAGGAGAGGATAATTGTTTGACTGTACAAGAATTTTTCAACTGATCCCCCCTTTTTTTTTTTTAGCTCTAAGCACCCTACACTCAACAAATATAGGGTTCCCTCTGTTTGCCAGGAAATATGCCAGGTGCTAGGGATTCAGCAGTGAAAAAACAAACAATTCTGCTCTTGTGCAACTGATGTTTTACTGGAGGTAAACAAAACAAGTAAAAAGGAATGATGTATGTTTCGTGTTAATTAAAAAAAAAAAAAAAAAAACAGGCATGATAGGGTGCAGTTTTAGATAAAGTGATCAGTGCCTTGCCATTCAGAAAGTGGCACTTAGGAAGACTCAAGTAAGAGAAATTAAGCCATGCAGTCTTGGGAAGAAGGTTCTAGGCAGCGGGAAGGACAAGTAGGAAGGTCTGGAGATTGGTGTTTACTTGACCGGGGTTGTGAGAAGGAAGTGTAGACTAGAAGATGATGAGATCAGGACATAAAGGAGCCAAATCATCTAGGTTAGTCCACCTTCAGTGCAAAAAAGGAAACCACTGGAAAGGTTTGAACAGAGGAATAACATGATCCAACTGCCATTTTCACAGAAATAGTCTAGCTGCTGAAGTGAGACTAGGCTGTAGGAGGATGAGAGCGGGGTGGAGATGTGAAAGGGGACCGTTGCAATAATCAGGGCCTAGTGATGGTGAACTGGTGGGGTAGTGGTTGAGGGGGTAAGTAGGCAAGTTCGTTATAAATCTTGATTCCATCAAATGTCATGAGATTAAATATCACTGAGTTGACTACTCCCAATGTCTGTCTCTAGCCCAGTCCTCCAAATAATAGGCTTTCTTGTTCACCCTCCTACTTAGTGTCTCTCCTTGGATGACCAATTGACTAATCAAAATCAGCATATCCAAAACTAGCTCTTCACTCCCCACCTCTGGAATCTGTCCTTCCACCATTTCCCTATGTTTTGGCAACCCATTCTTCCAGCTGCCTTAAGTCTAAAAACCTAAAATCACAAATTTCTCTTTTCTCATGTCCCTTATTCAAAACATCAGCCAAATGTCATTGGCAATTGCTTCTAGTTTTTCTGGTTTCCTTCTCTTGGGTCATTATGGTTGTAAATTCCTCAGTTCTCTACGTCAATTAACATTCCTTCAGCTGTTTCATGTTCCAGGTTTGTGATGTTATCTTGGTTGATCTTGACTCTGAAATTGCCTTTGTCTTTTGTATTCTGTCCTCTTGTTTCTTCTCCCATACTTTATATTTCCTTGTCTTTATATTGGAGTTAGAGATGGAAAAGATTTATGGTCACCCTGTGGTGTTTAACCTAAAGTCCATCATTTCTATGTCTGTGATGAAGAGAGAAGAGCACAATTTTAAAGAAATTATTAAGTCTGAATGTAAGATGATGTTCCGGTTGATGACTGAAGAGAATAAGATAAACTTCCAGAACCTGCAAGGGTGCTTACTAGACCCAGCCTTGAAAGAAGCCAGTCTTAATCAGATGATGGCGTTCGCCGCAGACCTCGAGGAGAAGTACCAGAAAACACTACAGGTGAGATGTTGAAAATGGCATCCTTTTCAATATTTGGGAAATGACAGGCAGAAGAGCTGAACATGGCCTTGAACTTGTTATTTAACCTCTAACTTGGTTTTCTCAGCTGTAAAGTAGGGATAATAATGGCTCCTAGTTCACAATACCGATGTGAGGACTAAGTGTGACAGTCTACATAAGATTGTAAAATAGCATGGGTACCTTTTGTGCACTGGATAAGTATTAGGTATTATTACTACTATAACGTTTATTGACAGCAAGAGATTGAGGTTAGATACAACCGACATCAGCATTGGGCTTGTGAAAGAAATGTATGTACATAAAATGGAATGCTCTGTAGCATTTAGAAAAGAGAGCATGTCTGTGTGTGTGGATAAGGAATGCTCTCTAAAAACATACCATTTAATAAGGAAACAGCAAGTGTTCAGATCATCAGCACAGTATAGTATGCTATTATTTGCGTTCTTTAAGAAAAAATAACATGAACGTGTGTTTTGTGCCTAGGTGGAGCACCTTTGCAGGGATAAAAAGGAAACTGATATCATTTGCTTGATTAATTACTATTGATATTTAGTTTTTGATACAAGCTTAATTTTAATTTGGAGGAAATAGGAAATTTTCTGAACAAACTGCACAGTAAAAACTGATCTGTTGCCCGACTGGTGTCGCTCAGTGGTTGAGCATTGACCCATGCTCCAAGAAGAGGTCACCATTTCGATTCCCGGCCAAGGCACATGCCCAAGTTGTGGGCTAGATCCCTAGTGGGGGGCGCGCAGGAGGCGGCCAGTCGATGTTGTCTTCTCATCCATGTTTCTGTCTCTCTCTCCCTCTCCCTTCCTCTCTCCCTAAAATCAATAAAGTGAACAAAAATAAAAATTAAAAATCTGTTTTAGGTTCAGGTTGTTATCTGGTAAGTGTACCACATGCACACCGTCCATGTCAACATAAGTATGTTGTATCAAAGAATCAAGTTTCTATTAAGGTGCCCTGCTTGCCACAGGGATGTCTTGGCCTTATCTAATTATGCATATCCCTGGAGTGACCAGCAGTGAAATGGGTTTCGAAAAAGATGATTGAATTAGCAAGTAAGTGACTGATTGTTAAATAGTAATAAGGAGATTCTTCTGCAGAAACTGAGCAGTCTGGGAAGAGAGAACATAACGAAACTGCAGGAGAGTGAAATCCGGCTCTATGAACAGATCTGCAGCCTGCAAAGGACCATCATAGAGCTAGAGAAGAAGTGTGGGGAATCGCCCCTAGCGCTGCTCAAGGTAAGACGCTAGAAAGAACTTTCATTATAGTGCTTGAGAAATGAGGAGTGGGCTGCACTCCTTGGTCAGTTCAGTTCCAGATCACAGTATCCAGTGATTTTCAACCATTCATGAAAGCTATTTAGTTATTTTCTAATCACCAAAAGCATTATGAATCATAAAAATCATAGTATAGTATAGAGCTACTTCATGATATGAATTCTCCCCTTAAAATTATCAATAGTAAGTTTGAATTGAGACGTCCCTTAATATGTAACTAATTGGTTAGTCAAATGATGATACATCTATACAGTAGAATGTTCTGCCACCATAAAAAAAAAGAATGAAGAAGCTCTGTGGTCATTAAAAGATTATCTTCAAGATACTAGTTAAGTGAAAAAGTGATGCAGAACTGCTTTTTGTTTGGTTTTGGAGAGTATGTTTGTGCATATAGACATATGCTCACTAACATTCAGACTGTCAAACACATTTTAATCAGTGGTAACCTTAGAAAACAAGGGTGATATTTATTTGTATAGTATATTTTCAATTTTGTATAGTAACGCACATTACCTTTTCAATAAGTAAGTTATCTTTTGAAGACTATCCGTATCTCTCTGCCAGGCCCAGGTTTGCAAAGTATGGTCTCTTATTTGAGAATCCGTACACCAAAACCCCCAGGTTCTGTTCTAGAGCCAAGGCTAGTTCCAAACAGCATAGGTAGGTGTGACCCAATGTTGCTCAGCCTCCTGACCTGGCTCCAACCACCCTCCCGACCTGGCTCCAACCACCCTCCCAGCCCAGCAGGTCCTTTCACATGCTCAACCCTTGCCTCCCCCAGGATAGAAAGCAAGTAGATGGGCTGAACTGGAATGATGAGTGTTCTGAATAAGATGGCTGAGGTGAGGTATAGAAAACAATCCTCTTGGAAATAGCAGTACGTTCAAGCATGTTTCTGACTTTTCCTATTCAATGTTAAAATTTGATATTTGAGAATTAGCATCATGAAACAAGAAATTACATAGAAATCAAGTTTCATTATTAGAGGACATTTTCATAGGCATACCTCACAAAATACTTGGCTCAAAGACTAGTAACTGTCTCCTTTTTTCCCATAGGATGTACGATATTGTTTGGAACGGTAAGTTTTCATTTTGGAAATATCTGGGTCAGACTCAGGGACAAATGTGTGAGCACACATGGGTAGAGATGTTGGGGTAGGGACTGGGAGGTCATGTAATGAGATATCCTCTGGGTGGAGGGCCCAAGGGATTCCCACCTGACTGAGCTTGTCCTCCCCATGTAGGAGTGGCGGGTCGCTGCTGCTTCAGTGTGTAGAGCCCGCCCAGATCACAACCCCGAGGTTATGCCAGATACCAGGAATGAGCGAAATGCTGGAACTGATTCAAAGTAAGTTGACCCATATGTTATTACCTCCTACCATAAATAGAAGTAAGTTCCAGAAAGCATAAGGTAGGTAACTATTAAAATAATTGCATGATCTTGAAACATAATTGCAAGCAGATTCCACTCTTGACAATTTTTAAACTTTTAGGGGAAAAAAATGTCACTATATGTAATGAAGGATTTATATATCCTACCTTCATAGTTCTGTCTTTTCCTAATGTCCTGTCAATGGATTCGTACTATATGTGGCTCTTTGAGTCTCGCTTTTTTCACTTAGTGTAATGCGTTTGAGGCACATTCTAGTTTTTTGCATCTATCAGTAGTTTGTTCCTTTTTATTGTTGTATGGTATTTCATTGTATGAATGATACCACAATTTATCCTTTTGCAATTCCACAGACACTTAAGTTGTTTCCAACTTTATGCTATAAATAATTGCTTGCAGATTTTTGTATGGTCATGACTTCATTGCTCTTGGTTGAATATCTGATCCTGTGGCCATGACTTCATTTCTTTTGGTTGAATATCTGTGTCACTTTGCATTCCCACCAGTAAGGTATGAGAGATTCAGTTGCTCTGCATCCTTGCCAGTATCTGGTCATGTGTTTCGCAAAGATTTCTCCCTAGTGTGTGGTTTTTATTTCCATTTACCTAATAGTGTCTTTTGAAGAGAATTTTTAGGTTTTTGAGGTTTTATTTATCATTTTTTTCTTTTATGACTTGTGCTTTTTGCATTCTAAGAAATCTTTTCTTACCCCAACGAAGATTTTCTCCTAGAAGTTTTATAGTTTTAGTTTAGATGTTTAGGTCTATTATCCATTTAGAGTTAATATTTATATATGAACTCCCCATTTTTTTGGTACTCACATATATCCATTTGTTCCCACTTCATTTGTTGAAAACACTGTCATTCTATGTTAACTTAGCACCTTTGTTGAAAATCAGCAGCTCTGAGCAGCTCTGTATGGACAAGAATAGAACCACTGACCATTGTGTTTGTTCCTTTCCTAACACTGTCCTGGTTTGATCAGTCATAAAACCAGGTAGTATGAGTTCCTCAGATTTGTTCTTTAAAATACAATTTTGGCTACTCTATATCTTTTCTTGTCACATAAATTTTAAAAATAGCTTGTTGGCTTCTGCAAAATACTGCTGGGAATTTGATTGGTATTATATTGACTGTACAGGTTAATTTGGGGATAAGATGATATAGCCAGTTATTTAGGTGTTCTCTGATTTCTTCCATCAACATTTTGTAGTTTTCAACAAACAAATATTGTGCAATTTAATTAGATGGATCGCCAAGTATTTTATTTTTAGTGCTATTATTAATGGTATTAAATCTCAATTTCTAATTCAAATATCATTTAGTTTTGATCCCTTGCTAATATAAAGAAATAGTCTTGAGTTTGTATATTGATATTGTATTTTATAACTATGCTAAACTCATTTATTAGATCTACTGGGTTCTTTGGAATTTTCTGCAAAGATAGTCTGGTAATCTATGAATACAGACAATTTTCTTTTCAATCTGTAAGCCTTTTCTGTATTTTTCTCACTTTATTGTACTGGCTGGGACTTACAATATGACTTTGAATAGAAATGGTAAGAAATATTTGCCTTGTTCTTGATCTTGGGGAGAAAGATAAGTCTTACACCTTTAAGTCTGAGGTTAGGTGTATGTTTTCCATAGTTGCCTTTTAATCACGTTGAGGAAGTTCCCATCTGTTCCTGGTTTGATAAAACTTTATCATGAATAGATGCTGAATTGATTACATGCATTTTCTACATCTACCAAAATATTCACATGTTTTTTTCTTCATCAGTTAGTATGATGAATTATGTTATTTTCATATGTTGAACCAGCCTTACATTCCCAGGATAAACTCTTGATTATGATGCTTTATCCATTTTATATATTGCTGGGTGTAATGTGCAAATATTTTAAAAATAATTTTTGTATTTATGTTAATGAAGCATATTAATCTGTAGCTCTCTTGTAATCATGCATTGACACTTTAGCTAATTCATTTTATTTTCATTTGTAGATAATCATTTGGTTCTTTGTCAAGTCTGTTTTGTCTTACTTTTCAGTTTCCTATATCCTGCAGATGTTTTTAAGCTTTTATTTTTAATTTCTCTCATCTTGTCGTCAAACATAGTAAGCAAAAATTACTTTAGCACCCATGCCTGGTAATTTTAATATCTGAGTTCTTCATATTTTTTTCTGCTAGTCTTAACTCAGTAGTGTTCCCTTACTTTGTGAGTGTGTGTTTAATGATTTTTTTAATAGGCAAGCTTTTCTCTTTTCCTTAGATATTAATTTTAGAAATTCTTTGAGGCCAAGAACAAAGGTGTACATTCTTCCAGAAAGAATTTGCATTTGTTTCTGCCAGTTTTCTGGAAATACTAAGAGCTGGGGGCAACTTGAAACTTAAAATTCAAGGCTTTGTGGTTTTTATGACTACCCTAAAAATGACATGAATTGGGCTTCAATTCCAGAGATTTAAGTTTATGTGGCCATGACACATGTTATTGGATTAGATGTTATAGAAAGTAAGAAGTAAACTACTTCAGGTTTATGGCTTGCGTAACTAAAGTATTAAGTGTGCTATTACCTGAAAAACAGAACGTGGAAAGGGAGAGGTTTGGGAGTTCCGTTTTGGATGTAGTATGTTTGAAAGGCCTGTGTTATATCCAACTGGTATTTGCAGCTAATTTATGGAAAGAGTCATGAACGTATAGAAGATATTTAAAACCAAGGCTAGATGAGTCATATGGGGGAAGGAGTACAAGAAGGGAAAGGGAGACTCAAGCCATGAGAAATCAGTGTATTTAGAGTCTGAGCAGAAAGTGGTAAGAGAAGGGACACTCAAAGATACGAAGGCAAGTATCACTTTCTTTCAAGTGTAAGAATTCATGTTGCGCTTTCTTGTTCTCAGCTTGATTTTTCTGGAGGATTCTCACAGGTTTTCTAGCCTCTGTTAATACCTTCTCTTTTGATTTACTCACCACCAAGGGCCTGCTGGCAGCAATTTCTAGGCATCCATGTCCCACTCAGGCGATACGTAAGATGAGAAGAGCAATTCAGTCACAGGGAGGAGCCCTGAATCACAGGAGGCACCAATGCTTCTGGCTCCTCTAGGCTTGGAGAAGACCTTTAGGGAACTAGAGTTGAGTCCCAGGTGCTATCTGGCTAGGACTGGATGCCAGAACATTTTTACAACCTGATAAAGTTCCTTTAAGGTTTAAAAGGCACTTCTACATCTCTTTGTAGTCCGTTATTTGTTTTGTTTTCTCTCTGCAGATACATTGCATCTCCTCCCGTCATCTTGACGTTTTTCCTCTATGATGTCCTTTCTTGAAACAAAGCTTAGAGGTTTCTTTGCCTGGACTCTCCTAGGCTTCCTCTCCCGTATTTGTCTCTGGGACTTGTGCCCACTCATTGGGAAGCTCCTGCGTCTTAGAAATAATCAGGGTCTAGCACCACCTTTGATGAACTGCTAAGTTAACAAAATTTCTCTCTCCCTGCAGGACCTATAACTTTGGATCCCAAAACAGCTCATCCTTCTCTTGTCTTATCTGAGGATCTGAGAAGCGTAACATTCAAAAAAGTCCAGCAGGATGTACCTGGCCACCCGGGGGTGTTTAACTTTGGTGCTTCTGTGTTGGGTGCAGAGAGCTTCACTTCAGGGAGGCATTACTGGGAGGTAGATGTGCAAAAGGCAACCAAGTGGCTGCTGGGTGTCTATGAAGACCCTACCAGCAGGCTGGATGTCATGCCCAAAGGTTCTGGAGATAAAATCTTAGTGATGGGGTCTGTGATGGGAACCGATTGTGCCTTCTGGGCCTTTCCCCCTTTAAAAAGGGTCTCCTTGGGGGAGCAGATGCACAGAGTTGGAGTTTACCTGGACTATAAGTATGGGCAGATATCATTCTATGATGTGACCAAGAAGCTCCTCATTTATAATTTCTCTCATCTTGTCTTCCAAGGAGCTGTCAGGCCTATATTTTCTCTTTGTTTCCCAAATGGAGGCACAAATTCAGACACTCTCAGCATCTGCGTCCCTGATGTTTTCTTCTTGTAATGTTTGTCCTCAGCTTTCCTTGGTGTGAAATCTAAAATCACAAGATGCTCGAAAGTCCAGGGCATGACTGTCAAAGAATTTATATTAAGTAATCTAAAAAAAGATTTCTTGCACTTGAGTTGAAACGCAGTTCAGTAGTACCCCAGACACTTTGCATTCACTGGGCTTTTCATACCTTAACTAAAGGAACCATGATTATTAGAACAGCAAAGGCATAGGCAGCATAGTATTGGGAGATTAGAGACAAAATAGTCTGGAATCCTTAGGATATATCTGGAAACAGAATTAGGTATAATCAGGACTAGATTCGAGGAGATCATCGTAGTTACTTGTGGAATGGAGACAGGCTCTTACCTGTTACTGACTTCACTGTCGAGACTTGGTAACACTTATTCCAAATGGAGAACAGCTTAATTTTCCTGAATGTTTTATCTCGGGTAGTAGGTGTTGCTTAAAATATGAATATTTTAAAATTTTTTCAGTAGTCTACTTTTTTTACAAGAATATTAGATTTCTTAAAAGAAGCCTGAGAGGGAGGGGGAGGGTGTTGTTGGGGGGATAAAGGAGGGACTTCTGTAATACTTTCAACAATAAAGATAAATTAAAAACCAAAAAAGCCTGATAGTTCAATTCTTTGAAACATAAGTAGTAGTGTCTTGTGATGTTCTCTGCTTTCTCTGTTGACATTTGGTTGACAAACGTTTTTATACAGCTTTGTCGGGGGTGGTCACACAATTCAGAGAAGAGGGTGACAGCAAACTTATAGAAAGACTTTTATGTGAAAGGCTTATCATATATGTATTCATTAATATTTTTAAAAAGCTATAAGTATGTGTTCATCTTATTACTCAAATGTATAAGATGAGGTTCAGAGGTGATTTTATGTTCAAGTTGCACAGCTATTAAGTGTCTAGTAAGTAACAAGGATGAGTTAAATCTGATCATCCTATCAAAACGCAGGCTCTGTCTGGAATCCTGTCGCACAGGAGCCTATTGTGTAAGCATGACCAGGAGGACAGTGGTCCAGTTTTACACATTTCCTGAGAATACAAGCCAATTTCTACAGGAAGTAGAGGAAGTATATTTATACTTCTCTGTAGGTATCCCCTGTATGTATTATGGAGTCTCTGTTCTTAAGGATGGGCAAAATAAAAGGAACACGAGGCAAATACAAGAAAATTGTTTCAGTTGAGGTGTTGGAAGGCATAAAGTCTTACTTGTGTTTTGGGGACATTTTTATTTTTTTTCTTAATTTTTTTTTTTTTTTAGAGGAAGGGAAAGGGGAGGAGAGAAACATCGATGAGAGAGAACATTGATTGGGCCCCCTGCATGCCCCCCAGTGGAGATTTAGCCCACAACCTAGGCATGTGCCCTGACCGGGAATCAAACCAGCAACCTTTTGATGCATGGGTTGACGCTCCACCACTGAGCCACACTGGCCGGGCTTGGGGACAAATTTTTAATCAACCATTTGGAATTCTTAAATTTTCAAATATCATGGGGATAAAGGAACCCTGATCTGAGAAGTCGGGTCAGGTCAGGTGAGAGCTTGAAGTGAGATAATCGTTGGAACACAAAGATGAAAAACTCAAAGCAGCCCAGCCGCTGTGGCTCAGTGGCTGAGCATCGACCCAGGCAGCAAGAGGTCGCCAGTTCACTTCCCAGTCAGGGCACATGCCCGGGTTGTGGGCCAAATCCCAAGTGTGGGGCATGCAGGAGGCGGCCAATGTTCTCTCTCATCAATGTATCTATCTCCCTCTTCCTTCCTCTCTAAAATCAAGAAAAATTATGAACATTAAAGATAAAAACTCAAAGCAGTGGCTCTCAGACCCCTTCTCATTTTCCTGAAGGGGAAAAAAGTGATTTATTATATAAAGAAATGTGAAAATTTTGTAATAATTGTCTCTATGATACTAAATCTGGACCCTCACCTTACATCGAATTTCTCCTGCCACTGCAGCTTGACTATTAAGAACTCTCTTCCCCAACTCAGAATCCAAAGGAGAATGCAGCCTGCCCTTTCAGTCCAACTCTAGGACATTGTCTAACAAACATGGATTACTTAGATTTTCTATGAAATTGCACCTGTGTTTGACTTTGGTGTTTAGCATTTGATGAGAACCCACACACTGATGTTACTTGTTAACTTGAATTATCTGGTAGAAGAAAAAAAATGTCCCCTGCCCTGGCCAGTTTGGCCCAGCGGTTAGAGCTTCGGCCTGTGGTTCAGAGAGACCCTGGTTCGGTTCCTGCTAAGGGCACGTACCTCGGTTGCGATTCATCCCTGGCCCTGGTTGGGTCATGCAGGAGGCAGCCACCCAATGTGTCCCTTTCACGTCAATGTTTCTCTCTCTCTTCCTCTCCCTCCCACTGTATCTGAACAAAAAATGGAAAAAATGTCCCCAAAGCTTTTTTGTTTTGCCCTGTGAAGTATTGAGCAGTTTTATATCTAACCCTAGCAATCTTATTTTAACATTATTTTATAGTCTGATGATCTGTATAAACTGCTTGTCATTCTTGGAACCAACTTGACTCGCTGCCTGGATCCCTAACTAATTACTGAGTGGAATAAAATATTTTGACACATGCCATCTGTCTTTGTATGAGGACTGTTTTTTAGCCTTTGAAAATGCTTTGACACAGACTGCAGACTTTTTGAATGAAGATACCAGCACATCCTTCCAGTCACAAAGACTTTGCACATGCGGTTCCCTGTGCTTCAGTCAACACTCTTCTCTTTTTGCTAATTCTGGCTTGTTCTTTAGATCTTCCCCGAAGTGTCGCTCCTGCTTGGCATCCTTAACAGGAGGGGATGCTGGGAGATCATGACAGTAATCACAGCTTGTTACACGAGGCACAGTTGCAGTCTTATATGTGGGTGATCATCTGATTGCGTTCCCCACTAGACTGTAAATTTCATGAGAGTAAGCACTGTACCTGTTTTTGTTTTTTATCTTCCGGTGTTAAATAGTCCCTAAGCACATACTTCCTTTCAAATTCATTAAGAATTCGAGGGGAAAAGCAGTGTGGTTGCGGCTTGTCCCTGACCCTGGTCGGGTCGTGCAGGAGGCAAACAGTCGATGTGGCTCTATCACATCGATGTTTCTCTTTCCCTCCCTCCCTCCCTCCCACTGTATCTAAAAAATAAATAATAAAAAAGATGCCCAGACTTTGGGATGTGGACTATTTGCAGATTAGGGTGAGTCTGCATGCTGCCTCTAGTGATGAGCAAACACGCCGGGTTCATGTGACGGCTGCCAACCAAACTGCTGTTGAGAAGATGGTGGTGGGATAAGGTAGACTTGGAAGGCTCACTGTCTCTCACTGTCTTCAATACCTGGGCTAAGTCAGACCTAGGAAATCTTGGGCCATGAGAGGAGCCTCCAGTAATTTGGAACATTTAGGATTATCCCACCACACTGGGGAGATATCTTTACCCTCAACAGACGTTTTTTTGGCCAGGAAACCTTAAAGAAAAAAATCCAGTTTCATGCTGTAGTTATAGCTAAGAAACAGTGCTCTGCAAACGTGTAGTGAAGTCAAGCTGTGAGGTCCTGGAGAGCTGAATTACTGATAACTTCTGGGTTAAGAATTCAGGGAAGGCTTAAAGCTCATACCCATCCAGACTTCTTCGTGCCTGAAATAACCTATCTAAGGTGAAAAGAAGGAAAGGCAGGTAACCTCATTTCAGTTCATGTCTTGATCTTTTATAAAGCAAGGAAAGATGAAGCGTAGAATTTACAGGGAATGGAGAAGTGATTTGAAACTTTGATTTCTTGGATTTCCTGATTAGAAGGTGATAAACAAACACCTTCCGTGGTACACTGAAGTTAAAAAGCACATAGATGGGGACTGGGAACAGATGCACCAGGTTGCATTATAGTTGTCTTGACAATGTGGAAAGCATGCAAGAAAATGGGACATTTGCCCCGAAGAGAACCAACGTGAGATTGGAACCTACTGCACACGGGAGGAAGGAATTATCTGCCGCAACATGTAGACAATATGTAGAATGACAAAAAGAGTGTTAAAATCAAATGCTACAGCCCTGGCCTGTGTGGCTCAGTTGGGGTGTCATCCCATGCACCAAAAGGCTGCGGGTTTGATTCCTAATAAGGCCACATGCCTGGGTTTCAGGCTCAATCCCTGGCAGGAGCTAGTTGATCAATGTTTCACTTGCTCATCGATGTTTCTTGCTCTCTTGCTCTCTTCCTTCCTCTCTCTCTAAAGAAAAATTAAATGCTACATATTAAAATAATTTAAGTTTATACTTCTGCTGTCTGCAAGGCAAGGTTCCAAATGCTTTATATGTATTACCTATCTTAATTCTTTTAATTCTAAGAGGTATATGCTTTATTTTTATTTTATCAAAACAGAAATATGCTAAAAATCCCCAGGTAGTGATACAAACTCTTGAGAAACCATGCTGTCTCTTCTTCCCACCTGCATGGATTGCTGCCCTGAAGCTGTCTGTGCGTGCTTGACAAGCTGGCTGGAGGAGATGGTGTGGGGGTTGAGGCCTGGTGCAGATGTGAAAGTAAAATTCCTGTGTTTCAAAAGAAGAGGTTGTTGGGGACTTAATGTGAAATTATTTTCATGAAATGTATTTGTGTGTCTGCAGAAAAATAACTGAATTAAAAAATAGTTTAAAACCTTATGTGAATGTTTTTTCCTAAATGAGTATTTTAATCACCTTTGTGTTTATCCGAATGAATACTCTAATTAGCGACAGATGACCTATGTGGTCCTTCTTAGAGAGACTAGTGGATTTTCTGTTCCAAAAAGAGGTGGGTCTGAGGGTCAAAGGTTACTTGTTGGCATTCCCCTTAACTCTTTCCTTATTTGGCTTTTGGGATTTCTGAAGTTAAAAGCTACCAACGTTGAGATTCAAAACTTCAACGACTAGTGAATTTTAGTCCAGGGACTACAAATGTGAATTTCCTCTGAGAACATACTATGCTCCTCATTGTGGAGTTAGATTGCTTCTTCGGAGAGAAAGG